TTTTTTTTTTTTTTTTTTTTTTTTTTTTTTTTGTCATTATGGGTAAGCCGAAAATTATATTCCTAAAAAAAGGCGTTGAAAATATACTTTATATGAGATTCCATTAAGGTATCTGATTTGGCCGGACCTTGCCGTGCACTTGCTGGATGGGTGGAGTGACCATAATTTGAGCTCAGCGCCGACGCCGTAAGTTCGTACTGACAAGTCTTTTTAGAGGTAAAAGTGGTTTCCGAACCACATCTTCAGTGCACGCTGGCGCTACGCTGTGATGAGATATAGACAACCATGAGTTTACCAGAACTTTTTGGTCTCCACAAATCCTAGTTTTGCTTTGCCATATATGTATACATATTCTTCTGTCATAAGTAGCAATCGCTTTTGACGTAAAGGGAGCTTTTCAAAATGTTTAATGCAGTTGTTCACGCACAATTCTTGTCCTTCCATCGGCGTCAAGTAATTACTAGGTTTTAACGGAAAAACTAATTAGCAATCTTTTACGTGCGAAAAGAGTACCTAACGTCGACGTTGTTCGCTTACGTAGCCTTTGCATCTACAACGGGTTCAAGCATTCCTGCTCAGGACTGTGTACAGTAGTCTCGCATCGTGTCTCGTTGGTTGACCAGTGAAAATTACTGGCGAAATTTTTTGGAACATTTGCTTGAAAACATAACAGGAATTCTAGATCGAAACAGACAGGGATTTTCATCTTGTAAGCGCCTTTTTGCATTTTCAGAAAAAGGTTGGTAGAATGCTCACCGTCGGTAAAACGAATAGCCGACTGAGGACAAAAATAGTGAGTCAAAAAGTGCTTGGGGCTTTTCTCTATCTCAAAAGAGTCATTGAAATTTGCTCGAAATTCAATGAAGTAGATATCCAATTGCGTTGTTTTTTGCTAGGCAGAAGTGATTTTCTTGTTATTGAAGTCATCCATCGTGGCATAGTGATCAGCGACCTCAGTTTTTTTGCAAGGTAATCATAAGCAATGTGGTGTCATTAAAGTTCTAGAGGATAATTAGCATTTGAATCTGAATCTTTTTTTTAAGTCTACTGTAGTAATGTTCACAATTGACTTCTGCAGTGCACAGTGTAATTAGTTATTCAGACCGTTACTATTCTAAAAGAAATTCTTTTCAGTGTATAGTAATCAGGACTGATTTCTGTTTTCCTTTTTTTCTTTCCAAATTCAAGGAACAAAATTTTTTCTTGAAGTACATACTACAATTTCATTTTAGTGAATTTTCTTTTTTCCCAACATTTTTTACTCAGCTTAGGAATATATAATTTGAGTTAAGTTGTGATGTTTCAAAGAACCGTGATGAGGTACACAAAAACTGTTTGTTAAACCAAAAATAGTAAACTGGCTAATATGAAATGAGGAAGATAAGCGCGTAGTATCGTCAGGTTCCTTCACTGATGTGAAAAATTCCGTTTTTCACTATGTTAGATGAGAGTGAAAAAGTTTACACCCCTATATATGGCATTTTATATTTGGTTTTGTATGGAAATTTTGCAACTTTGAGGATATTTTGTTATCATTTTAATTGTATTTCTTGTTATTGTGTTGGTCGTTGAAAGAACCTAACAGGTGTGTTATTGCAACCCTTTCTGTTCAAAGAATTTTTTTTTTTTTTTGCGTTATATATCAGCCAGCAACACCCGTCACGTGTCTTCCGCCTTTTACTATAGGGCAGTTTTTGTGGGAGGCTAAATTAATTTGTGAGTGAGCGGTGGGGGGAGGGGGTGAGAAAACGAGGATGAAGCCAACGTGTCTTCCGACAGAAATTATATGAAACAAGCAAGCAGTTAATTGTTGCGCATTAACCGGATGAGAATTAAATCTGAAATTTTTTATTGGAATCATTGGGTAGACACATTTCTGTTATTGTTGTTTTGTACAGGAGGAATTTTTTCCTTTTTTTTTTTGAGGAGGGAGAGGAGGGCAGTAATATCCTGTCTTTTTCTTTTAGAAGAAATAATGGTTTAGAAAAATTTTTGTTTGTTTACTTGAATTTCTGATTCCCCAAAGATATGAGTCAGTAGTTTCAACTTTTCATCAGTTGTATAAAACTTAATCCTGAACAAAAAAGATTAACTTTTGTTGTTATTTAGCAGCAATGATCGATCATTCCGTGCAAGCACTGAAAACACAAAACGGTAGTGAGAAATCAAACTCTTTGGCTCCGCCCATACGGAACACAAACAGTTTGTGATCGGCAATGATGTCATCGGTTCGGGAACTGTTCCAGAACTACTTGGAGCAGCAGTACAGTATATTAAGCGCGCAGTTTACCACGTTTTAAAGTAGTGTTGTTCTAACAACAACTGCTTTGCTCCGCCTTTACAGCCACAAGGTGGCTTGCGTTTTTTGGTTATCTCAGAAATTTTTATTTTACTCCGTAACAAGTCGGTTACAAAAGTGAACACTAGCTACTTTAATATTTCAATGATTACTTTAATATTTTTTCTTCACTCCATTTGTTTCCACCAATTCCACGTTTATTCTTTACCACTTACTGAACGGCCATTAAAACAACCTTCTGTTTCGCCGCTTTTCAAGGCCCAGAACAGTAATATTGATGAAGAAGCTTCCTTAGCAACAAATACTGTTACTGGACTGACACACGGTGGACACCAGAAGGTCGAACAAGAACATAAAGTACAAGGGACCAAGAAGTCGTACAGTGAAGAATATGCGGTTACTTCGGAGTACATTGTCAATAAAAATATTGGCCCGCAAAGTTCGACTGTTTTAAAACCACAAAAAAGGAAATCTTTATTTCAATTTATGCCAGAACCCAAAGTTCACAAATCGTATTCCTCAACAAACACTGTAGACTTTGACCAAAATTCTAAGGCAAGAACGAAGACTGAAGCAGAAAAAGAATTTCGGAAGGAGGTGGTTAGTGGTTTGCCAGCGAGCGATCAGAACTCAAAGAATGCCAAAGCGAAGCAAAGTACAGACAAAAACTTTCACCGTGAGAAAGAACAGGGGAGCACTTTGAAGTCCGAATATGAAAAAAGGGTTTTGGAAAAGGTTGTTCCGAAGTCCAGAGCTAAAGAGGTAGTTCTCAAAGACTCTACTTCTAAGCCTGACATTGATCCTGGTTCTGCAGACACAGTTGCTCTCAAAACCATTAAGGTCGAAGATGACAAGCCTGCAACACGTTTCATTCCAAAGACTGGACAACCAGAAATGTTAGCAGAGAAACAACCGCAAACCGAAGAAGACTCTGAACTTCAAGTGAATCAAAACACTGACGACGTCTTAACTGCTGGTAATTTGGACGACTCTAATGTTGCTGCTGGAAAAGGTGTTAATGAAATCATGGTTCCATCGGAGTTAGACAGCAGTGAAATCAGATTTCAAAGTTCTGCAGGCGGTGAAGCAAAACAGTTGGTCCCGTTGCCACCTAAAGTGACAGAGCCACAGTACGAGAAGCCCAAGAACGGAATAGTTGAAACATTTTTTAACAGCTTGAAAATAACAGCTAAATGCTTACACGGTTCTTGCAATCATGTTTTCAAACAAGGCAGTGAACAGGAAGTTTCTTCTATTCGGGTTATGAAGCCCCCAGAGCGTTCAGAAATGGCTTTACCACCTCGTCATCGCAGGAAGCAGCGTACACAAAACTCCT